CGTGTATCTGGCCACCCTTCCGCGGGGCTGGGCTCGACCTCTGCAGCCTTTACTGACAGGAATATCCTTTCCAGGTGGGAGTCAGGAGTGAACTGTTAGAGCCTGTCTGTTTTCTTTTTAAGGTGTTGAGCGAAAGCCGTTGCCCTTAACTCGTGGTTGTGAAACGTGCCTGAGAAGCAGGTCCGTCTGTGTGCGAGGAATAAAAACTCTTTAAGTGGCACTGGTAATCTTTTCTTTGTGAAACGTCGGTGCAAAATATCCCTGTATTCCACCTGTAATTATGAAATGAATATTCAATGTATTCAGTTATTTTTCTTTAAGGAAACCAGATGTTGAGCTTGCACTGAATGCCATCAGTGATACATCTCTTGTTTGTTTTGTTTTTAATCCCAGAAGAAGTTAGCTGTATACAACAAGATGCAGGAGTCTCTGGAAGTGACCCTTCCCAGCAAGCAAGAGGAGGATGAGAAAGACCAGCCTGCTGAGATGGAGTACCTTAACTCTCGCTGCGTCCTTTTCACTTACTTCCAGGGAGACATTGGTTCAGTAGTGGATGAACACTTCTCAAGAGCTTTGAGCCAAGCCAGTAGCTTCAATCCAGAAACTGCCCTTACCAAGAGCAAGGCAGGGCTAAGTCCTCTGTGGAGAGGTAAGAGGAGCAGTAACTTGCTTTGTGTAGTGTGGCTTACTCGGTCTGTGTTGCGGTAACGCATATTGCATTGCAGCTGAAATTTTGCTCCTCGGTGGAGCTGGAAAAATCCCCCTCACGTTTGGAAGAAACGAGGAGCTTCTGAAACGTTAAAGGGGGAAACAGGTGCCAAAGGCGTGGAAGAAGCCGGCGTCTCCCTCTCTTACCATAGCCCGCGGTTCCGCCGAGGCCTGGAAGGAACAGGGCAGAGCTCACGTGGCTTCACAAACGTCTGCTGCAAGGTTGGAGCCTTATTTTTAAGCTCCAAGTGTGAAACTTGGCCTGTGAGGCAAGAGCAGAGCTGTTAGGGATGCTGGCCTTGGACGTGAGGAGACCCGTGCAGCCTTCTCGCTTTGCTTTGCCAGGTGATTAACATTCATCTACGGCAGCTTTCCAGGTAGGGAGGAGCTGGCAGAGGCTGGAACAGGCTTGGCCGCAAGCCCTGGCCCACGTGGCTGCAGCCGTGTGGTGCAGTGCATTGCAGCCCGCCCATGGGCAGAGCTCACATCAGAGATGTGGGCGCCGTTACTGGCTTCCCGTGTGTAAAATGCGGATGGCGTTACTCTGCTTCTGAGCACAGAGTAGACACGTGGTAGGTGCTGCGAGGCATTTGAATGCTGCCATAACGCTCGCGTCTCACAACGCGTGTAAGCGTGACCAACGTAATAAAGAGCAGATCTTGCCAGATAAGCTAGGTAGACCTTACAGATAAGATTTTAAAATTGGTGACCACAAAAAGCGTGCCCTTAAGACACTATTTCCATTTTGTTCAATGTGACAATCTGGGTAGTTTTTCAGATCCACAGCTGCATTATTTCTGATCATGTCCTTACGTGGACTGGCAAAGGGACACGAACTCAGTATCATGAGGAATGGCCTTGCTTTGGGTTGAGCGAGAGGGGTACCATGAGGATCTTTGTAGGAGTGGTGGTATTCATAATCAGCGATGTTGAGGTGAGAGTGTATTGATGAAAGTCACAGATAATAGAGAGAGATGGGATTTTTGGAAACCACTGTGAAGAGAAAAATAGCACAGAAGGACTTGCTTTCCGGGAGGATGATGACAAATCCGAGGAAGTTTAAGCAAAGGTCAAGCGCGAGTGGCTAGGGAGCTAGAGGAATTTATAGCTTGAGCCGGGACCTTTAATGTTAATGGGAAATTTTCTGTCGACTCGACTGAGAGCAGGATTGAACCTATGCTGACTAAAAAGGAGACTGGAGCATTTATAAATGGCCCAGACAGGCTATAAATGTTTTAGAGATGGGATCAAGGCAGTCCCCAGAGACTCCATGCCTACAGCAAGTCCTCTTCACTGAGCTTGAAGACATACCATGGGTGGGGTAGTGTGTCTTCTCCTTGGCCTCAGACATGCCCTGCGATTTGTCCCTTGCTCCCCCCATGGTGGCACGGCCCTCCCCAGAGGCCTCTGCAGGGGACAGGCCGGCCTGGCGTAAGGGTTCTTCAGCCACGCTGCCTCCTGACCCAGCGTGCCCCTTGCCGTCGGCAGGGAACGGAGGTCTGCATGTCCTGAAAATCTTCTGGGAATAAAGTAAGGGGATATGCCCTCTGCCAGCGTTGCACCTGCTGATGCGGTATGAAAGTCCCCGGAGAGGCTGCTGGGCAGGGCTGCTTGCTTCTGCGCTGCAGACGCCCAGAAAGCTGAAGGTATTTGCTTCTCCAGAGAAGAGAAGCGGACAAGAGTTTTATCAGGCCAAAATGAGTTTCTGGAACATGCCTACTGAAAAAAGTGGGGAAGGAGGAATGCTAACACCTTGGTCTTCTGGTTCGTGCACAGTTGTCAAAGATGCTCTGTTACGACAAATTAATGGGAATTTGTATCCCGTTATGTAAGGAAGCTATAATGTTATTAGCTTGAAGGTCTCTTATAAATAACCTTCATGGGTAGTCAGAATTTTTGTCAATAAATTACTCAAAGATAAATTTAAAAAAAAAAAAAAGCTTTTGTGTTTGCAGTAGCTGTTTTGGAAGGTACAGATTTAAATGGAAAGTGTGTGGGCATGAACTGGCTACCCAGCTCACTCTGTTGTTTCTCCCTTACCTGAAAGGAGGATTACTAATGTTTTCTGCTTTTTTTTTTTTTTATTTGTTTTTGTCTTTTATATGTTGAAAATACCGATCAGTTTAGGATAAAATTAACTTCAAAACTGGCTTTTTATAAAATAGAATTCCCTACAACAGGCTCTGGTAACATGGACTTTGAATATTCAATTGTAGGTGTAGCTACCTGAAATCTTTTGCAGGGGCTAATAAATATAATGATACCTTGAAACTAATGTTACCTTAATGGTATTTTTATCAACATACTTTTCCTTGCTCAAAGTGTGGGTTACTTTTTTTTCCTGGGTTTTGGGTTTGTTTTTTTTTTTCCTCCTGCCTTAACTGTGAAATAATGTTGTACTACAGAAAATTCCATACATTGTCTTCTTTGCAGCATGTGCGTATTGGCATATTTTCAGCGCGTGTTGGCCAGCCATCGTGAACATTTGCTTTAGTCACCACTTTGTGGTATCTGAGATGTTGCCGTCTCCCTGCCTCCCTGTACTTAGAATAGGAAATTGTGGTAACTGTGGTATCTTTGCGGGTAGACAATTTTTGTTAAATGCCTCCTTCCTCGCTCCTGAAAGCCCACAGAAGCTACTCAGATTATTTTTATGTTTTTTATTTCTCAAGGACAGTGCTGAAATGGCTATTTCTCCATTGCCATGTCCTATAGAGGCCAGGTATCTGACATAATGGTATCTGTAAAGACAATTGATTGTGTTCACTGTTTTAAAGGTGGGAAGGAAAGGACACCCTTCAAACACTGTGGAAATGTATGGTGGTTGGGGATTGTGGTTCAACACAGAGATGGTTCTTGTTGATGGGGTTGCTGCACACTTAATATTTATTAGCATACTCTGTGAGCACTCAGGGTGGATGAAGTTTTCTTGCATGTTCCCATAACCTGGATGGACCCTGTATCTCCAGTGACATGACTTGGCCTTGACCAGTAAGGTTGGTCTCTGCAGTTATACTCAATGGTGTTTCGGTGGGGGCTGATCCGTGACAGTGGGAATGGCTTTGTGAAATGTGCACGTGTTTGAAAAATGGAGATGCCCGAACATGTTTTCTGTGGCCTAGATCTCCTGCATGATTGGTAAAGCCAAACTGGTATGCAATCTGGGATGAATTCATATTGGCAAATCCAGTGGTTTAAAGTGCTTTCTCCTGGTATTAAGTTGTCCTGCAGTTACTTTGTGGTTTTCTGTGCTTTTTTGAAGTGAGATGGTTTGGATTTAGGGCTTTTCCATGCAGATAACAGCCAGATAGTTTCCAAAAACTCTCGATTACGGAGATTAATTTTCCAGAATACTGGCACTGCATTGTCAAGCTCTGTTCCTCTGTTAAGCAGTGAGGAAAACAACAGACTGGACATGAAGAAGCTTGTTTTTGCTTTTTTTTTTTTTTTCCTTCAGCCCTGTTGCCAACGCTGTAAGCCATGTGCACTCTCCATCTCAGCCTAATCCCTTGTAACAAGGAACAATTTACAAACAACAAACAATACCAATTTCGGAGGGGTGCTGAGGCTTCTGTTATATGCTTGAAGCTCTCTGCAGTCTTCTAGCATGAATTACAATAGAAATACATTGCTAAAAAAAGAAGCAACCTTTTGAAGAAAGCCATGTTGGAGTACAGTCAGCTAGATGAGCTTGCAGCCTCTGAAGCGGTTTGGCACAGAGAAGTTCTCTATGTTTGTCCATTGTACATTTGCAAAGTTTATTTCTAATATCAGAAGTTAATCAGGCTCAATAAACTGCCTAAATCAAAGCCAACTGATGTGTGGAAAAAGTGTCTATGATTTTAATGGATTTTAAAACAGGTACAGAAGTGTCCTAGTGATGCGGTCAGAAAACACTTTTACAGTTTTTGTTTCCAAAATATTTTTGTGTAAGCAAAGTTCAGAGGCAGGAGCGTTTGAAGAATCTGTTCATTCTCAATAGTGTCTTCACCCAAGTCTCATTCCAGTTGCTTGTTAAACAAAGTGAAACAAAAGGTCATTTAAAAAAAAATAATATAAATATTTTTGTAAATGTTATATCAGGAACAGAGGATTCCTCGCCTCATCATATATTAAACTTCCCTGGCTTTATTTCTCCGTAGGCTATTTTTATGACTGTTCTTTCATCAGAGGTAAAGTCCTGTATTTTTATGTTTCCATTTTTGACCAAAAAAAAAAAAGCAACTATTTGAGCTGAGACATATTGCATGAAGCAATGCTTTCAAACATGACCTGGGAAGAGGACTGTGAGAATGGAGGTGCCAATACTTTCCTACACATCAAAAACACTAACCGCCCCTTCAAAAGAGGAATTTTTAGAATGTGATTTCATAGTGTAGAAGTATTGGAATCCATTTAAATATAAGTTGAGCCCTGGCTGTAAGAAGCAGCAGTCTTTTATTTCTGACAAAAGCTTCTTTCAGTTACATAGATGATTCTGCTTGTCTGATCCTATTGGGTGCAGGGCAGCGTGATATAATCTATAAGGGAGTAACGTAAGATGCGTTAGCTACGATCTTTATCCCATCAAAGCATGCAATTAGTTTGAGAAGATCTGGTATTCTTCCTGTAGCCAAATGTTTCATGTTCTGCAGTGTGACCTGATTCTCTGTCCTCAGAAGCATTTACAGCCACAACAGCTGCCTTTCTAAATGATGTGTTCTGGTCCGGTCAGGAATTAGCCTTTCCTCATAATTCCTGTACCAAGATCCTGAGAGAGCTGCGACTCTTGAGCCTGGAGAAGAGAAGTCTTCTCGGGGTGATCTTATCAATATGTGTAAATACCCGATGGGAGGGAATTAAGATGGGGGAGCCAGGGTCTGCTCAGCAATGCTTGCTGACAGGACAAGAGGCAATAGGCATGAATTAGAAAACAGGAAATTTCATCTGAACACAAGAAATTTTTTTTCCCCCCCCCCAATTGTTGAGGGTGGCTAAACCCTGGAACAGGTTGCCCAGAGAGGTTGTAGAGTTTGGATTTCACTCAAAATCTGACTGGACACGGTCCTGGACAACCTGCTCCAGGTGACCCGACTTGAACAGGGGCATTGGACTATACAATCTCAAGAGGTCCCCTCCTACCTCAACTGTCCTGTGATTCTGTAATTGCTGAGGAAGCTTGAGTTCAGTGTTACAAATTTCAGCGAGTAGAAAATCATTGTGGGGTTTTTGTCATTTAACTTGTTGTTCAGTTTCAGTCATGCTTCATTTCTCTCCTCTCTACCAGAAAGCTCAACAATTTCAAGCCAAAGGAGCAGTTTCCCAACTTCATTTTGGACCAGCTCTTATCAGCCTCCCCCTCCACCATGCTTAAGTGGAGTACACCCCGATTTCCCCGTTACTGCACCAGGCACCTTCCCAACACCAGATCCCAGCAGCTGGCCAGGACACAGCCTTCATCAGACTGCCCCACCTCCTCCCCCTGCTGCATCTGAATCCTGGCATTATCCTTTAGCATCTCAGGTGAGCCCTTCGTATGCACACATGCATGACGTGTACATGCATCGCCATCACCCTCATCCACACATGCACCATCACCATCCCAGCTCGCACCGTGACCCCCGGTACGGGTCCCTGCTGATGCCTTCAGTCCGCGCAGCCAGGATTCCTGCTCCCCAGTGTGACGTGACAAAGACAGATCCCACTGCTGTCACCAGCGCTACCTCAGCATGGGCTGGAGCCTTTCATGGAACAGTGGACATTGTGCCCAGTTTTGGGTTTGACACAGGTAAGATGGTTCGATTGTGTCTGTGACTTGTTTTAGCAGGAAGAATTTGAGCAAAGCAGCAGATTTCCTGCAGCTGAAGCAGGGCTTGTTCTCAGGGCCTTCTCCAAATACATTTCCAGGTGGGAGACCCTCCTGAAATTGCTGTCAGGGCAGATGAGCTGTTAAACATCTAGCTCTTGCTGTCTTTTGCTGAGAGACCTTTGTCTGCCTTGGTCCCATTTAAGTCAAATGAGTTGTGACGTGATACATGGTTTTTTGGTTTAAATCTTGTGGGAAATGGTTAATTAAACATCCATATGGAAGCTTCCAGCTTGTTCAGCTAGTTTATATGTGCATTCACCAAAATATTGCTCCAATGAGGACTGAACTAATAACTTGTCAGTACACAGGATTGCGTCTTACTCATCGAAATTGGAACAGATCAGCATTTCCTTCCTGTGTAGTATCCAGGTGTCACATAGAAAGTAGAGATGCTGGTTGAGCTGTACTCATCGTCAAACTAAACTTCTTTCTGTTAGGTCTAGGCAGAGAACCTGTGAATTAGGTTCATTTTACCGCAGGGTCTGTAGCCATAGGACAGCCTCCATAAACTACATCTGCACCTGCGAGGTTTGACAGGCAGGCTCTCCTCTCAGCGTTAGGAGCAGTCTAGCAGCCCTCACTGTTCACAGTTGCTTGTGATCAGGTGATGGGTGACTAACAGTTCCCAGCACATCCATCCTGGAGCTTATACGCACTATTTTGAGGTCTCCTTTTTCTGCTTGGTATTTATCTGACCAGCAGCAATCCTTGCAGATTAAACAATGTTCTTAAACACGTTATGTTATTTATTAAGAAATACTAGGTTTGCATCTCTCTCCCTTTTTCCTTAAGGTATCTGTTTGTCTTCTTGATAGCTCTAGCTAACTGATTCAATGTGTGAGAAGCACTTCCTTGCTTTGATCAGTGTGCAGGGGAACAAAGAATTGATAGAGAAAAAGTGCTATTTCTTACATATGAAATAATATGAACCCCAAACTCGATTATAACTGAGACAACCTAACCCAAATATCTCTCTCTTCCCTTAATAACAACTGGGAACCAATAATCTCTTCTAAATACCGTGCCACTTGCTGCCTCAAGAAATTAAGAAAGATACATAATAGGATTCTTAATACTGGGCAATTTTGTATCATCTATTGAAATGTTTCCAGTCACGCTAATGATACAAGAGGAATTACATTTTGTGCTTTGAGTATAAAATGATAATCTGACAAGACTGGGATCTCAAGTTTTGCCTTTCTGACAAATTCTGTGTCACTGTCACAACTAGAGGGGATGAGCCCCCTGGTCTGACAGTAGCCATAGCAGTCCAGCTCCAGAGCTCTGGCATTGGACTTGCATTATGGGGACGGAGCCAAGAACTGCGTAAGGGATTGTTAGTCAGGAGAATCCACTACCCGGCTTAGGTGTAAGTCCAGCCTAGACTGTGAGTTGTTTCAGTGCTAGGCAAGTTGGTTTGCGTACTGCTACTTTGTTGGTAGTAGTATGTCTAATAAACCAGGTGGTTTTTCTCTTTTTTGTGAGAGCACAGTACCTCAAAAAAGACTATGGGTCCTAGCACTGCCTTACAGGACTAGTTCAGCCTTTGCTTGGTGCGCGCTCCTTGTGAAAATCCCTATGGAAGGGTACAGTTGGATGCTAATTTTGTCAGGGTCCTGATGTGGCAGTGCTTAACAGTGGCTTGCATGTCTTATAGTTGTCTACTCAGCGTGGGAGGCAGTGGAAAAGGCCTGAAATGTTAATTTCTGGCCCATGCCTGATGTGTGGGTTTCAGTCCATGTGGGAGAAAAGAAAGAGGGGAAATGTGTGACTGGTTTGCAGGAAGATCTCAGAAGATCAATGTCTCACTTGTTTGTGACTATTCAAAATGGCCATGCACTGAAACACAACAGCAAAACCTTATCAGGCGGCCCCCGTTGGGCACGTAAGGCTTTAGAAACAAGGGAGCAAGCAACGAAACACAGCAGGTAGTGGTGGCCTGTGACACTGCAATTATTTGCTCTCTTAACTTGCACACGCACCTCTCCTGTGCTCTCCAAGCAGAGGCTTGCTGGGAAGGGCAGGAAGGTTCTGAGCTCCCTTTTCAGCTTTGCCCACAGCTTGTAGATTTGAGACAAATGTTTTGGTGACAGGCATGATCGTGGTGAAAAGAGGGATCTTAATTGCCCGAGTGTTTTGTGTGCATGCTGGATGGTGTCATGCCAGGGAAGGTGTGTTGTGCTGCTGAGGAGAGGAGGGGGCTGCTGAAGCACCACACTGAGCCTCCTCCAGCATCTCTGCCAGAACAGGTAGAGATTTTCTTGTTCCATGTCCACTCCAGGGGAGGATTATACTGAATAAGTCTCCACATTACACAGGATTTCATTACATTTAACTCTAATGTGAGACAGCTCTCTCAACAGAGAGGCTAAAAATCAAAGGGCCTGGAAGAGTGTACTGACTTTCTGCAGCATAGAAGTGGTTTCTCTGGAGTAGGGTAATGCCATAGTGGCAAGAAGACTTCAGTTCTGAAACTCTTTGTTCCTGTGTCCCTGGAGAATAAAAGACATCAACCCGTGGAGCTGTCAATGTATCAGATTCTGTGAGCTTCAGATGATTTATATAAAAAAAGCTCATTTGGTATATACCTAGATGTTGCTTTTCAGAACCCTTCAGATGTGAAAATTATCTCCCCCACCCTTACTGTGGGTCACATTTCTTGTGCTACTGTCACATGCGATTATAGAAACATTTGCAAAATTCCTCACGCTGAATTACATGGAATGATAGTGTTGGGATCAGGGCAGGCTGGCTGTAACCTTGCCCTCTTCCAGCTACATTGTTGCATCTCTGCCATACTAAGCCAAATATTCAATGTCCTGAATGGATGATGCTGAATCACTTCAAAGGTTAAGAGGGGGTTCCCCTTGCATGCCCGGTGTAGTTTGGGAATTCATGTTTCAGAGCAGATTGTATGGGACATCAGCATATCACCATTCATAGAGCTAACGAAGTATCGATCTGTCTTGCACATCTGTTTGAATTTACATGGTCCTGGTTTAGAGGATGAAGAGGGATTTAGCTACCTGATTCCCATTAAATGTGGCTTAATCCTCACATTGTGTGCTACAAATTAACCCTTTTAGAAGCTTCTTTATTGGTACAAGTGGGATTAGAGAAAATGCTAGTCTACATCAAAATCTATTAAAACCTGTTACGTTTGTGGCTGCTGGTGTGCAGTGTCTTTCCAAAGCCGAAGTGTCCAAGCTATAATGCTCAATATAAAAGCATGTTTTTTATCAAGCACTGATATAAACACATTGATATAAGCACAACGTGTTTGTGCTTTAAGCCACAACTCCCTGCCCTGCCGATGTCAAGCAAGGCCAGGTCAGCCTCTAACAGCATTGACTGCGGTTCACGGCACGCGTAGAGAGGGCACTGCTGCCGCCGTGATCCCGCTGTGCCGGGGTGGCCGGGCTTGGTCCTCCTGTTCACGTTAAGGGTGCACAACCCGAGTTGAGCACTTAGGACCAGGGAGCGGGGAGGGCAATTGCCGTCTTGCAGTGGAGCTGACGGTTGCGGCCATCAGTGTTTTCCTTGGGAGCAGGGTGGGAGGCTGCCCTGCACACCGGGCACTTCAGGGCATCGGTTGGGTCCAGCTGCGCGGGCAGCTGGCAGGTCTGCGGGCAGCCCTGTGGGGCGGAGAGCAGAGTAACTCACCCTGTTACTGCAGAGCCGAGGAGGATATCCTGTCCTGCTGTTGGACAGATGTGCTGGAGGAGGCTTCCCGTAGCCACAGTGCATTAAAAGCAGAGCAGGATTTTGGTATATCTGAGGGCTATAAGTCTGTCTTAACACTGAGGTGTACATCCTTTATCATGCAAAATTATGCACATTGAGGTGCATGATTTTAAATTTAGGTGAATTAATTGACATCCTCTAGTCCTGGCTAACTATGGAAAGTCCATTTTTGGAAATACCTGTAGGTCGGTGTGCCATGTTGAATATGGAATTTGAGTGGTCAGTCTGCTGCCTTCTGTAGAGTTGTCTCTGTTCACACGCATCCCATGAGTTTGTCACAACTCAGTACGGTTGTTCAGATGTTCCCACAGAACCCGCGTTCTGCTTGTGTGGCAGCTCGCTAACATGTTGCCATCCCAGAGATGGGGAGTTGTACTGGTGTGGCAGTACTGACTCAAGCAACGCAGGTGAGGATGTCTTTGCTAAGAGGAAATTGTTCTTGCAGCAGGCTGCAAGTGAAAGCTCTCGGTTAGTAGCAGCGTTACGCTAGGATGACATGTTAGGACTGCAGATAGCCTTGCCATAAAGAAGATGGGAATATAATGAGGAAAAGGCATGGAAAGTGATCCACATTCAGTTCTGTAACTAAGGCAACTTTGGGTTTTTTTATTGTTTTCCATGGCTGTTTAGACTTAATAGCTATACCTTAAACCTCCTTGTTAGAGTTATTTCTGTTTGTTGCAAAGACACCTAACTAGGAAGGTGTCTGTTCAGCTGGTTATTCCCCTTCTACCAGTTGCTACAGTCAGGTGGACATCCTCTTAAACAGGTGTGTGAGTAATTTTTTTAAGTTTCTAGGAGCCATGTAACCTGTTTCTCTTCTCATCAGCTTCCATTGCCTCTGGTAGCCTTTAGTGCTCCACTGCTGAACTTAAATGACTTCCTTACACTCTGAAAGGTTTCTGCTGACTCCTCCTCTTTTTTTCTCCCCTTTTCTTTTTTCTCTTTGTTAAAAAAATTTGAAAACAACAAGGGAAAAATAACACAAAATTGTCATCACTAACTATGAGGGAGCTTTGAAGGAAACTAACGGTGGTTTACGTTGACTCTGCCTGTGAATGCTGCTGCCAGGAAAACAAGTAGCTCTTAAGCAACAAGGAGACAGCCTCGTCGAGTAAAGAGCCTCTGAACATGTTTTTATAGACACGCTTTATTGAGGGATATCCCAGTTTTTCCGATCTAAAGAAACAGGTGAATGTGTGTGTGACATGGAGCAGAAAGACGCTGAACAGGGTTTGGCATGCTCTACCTGGGTGCTCTGCCATCCCCAGCTGCTCACTGCGGGACGCTGCTTGGGGATCCTCACACAGATGGAGCAAGACGCTGTCATCTTTTATGTGACTGTTAGTAGCTTTGTAGCTCAACTCTGAAATTATGTTGATCATCATAGGAGATTTAACTGTTTGTACTCCTAAAACAAGGAGGTGGTGGTTAGATCTGAACCCATTGTGCCTGTTAGGCTTTTTGAAAACATGGGTCTTCCTTTGCATTTCACTATGTGATTAGATGTGGAAAGGAGAGATCCATGCTTAGCACATGGATTTGTCAATTTTCACAGGTTAACGATCAAATGAACGTGGACCTGCAATGGTTGCAACATCATTGAGGTCTGGAGTTGCACATACTTAGATTAGTGGTGAAATCGGCCCTAAATTCTTAGCAGATCAGGTACTTAATGCATTGGTCTTGGTACGCTATGCAGTGGGGCAATATATAGTATGACATAGTGCAGAGCATTGCTGTCTATATAGTAATCATTTATAGTGGGAAGTGCACCTTCATTTCACGAAATGTGATTTGCTTAGCTCAAAACATCAAGGGCTAGGTTTTAAATCAGTGAGTCCTAAGTGCCTTGCTACCTCTTAAAATATGTGCCTGCACCTTTCTCCTTTCTACTTTCCCTATAAATGAGCAAGAATGTATCTTCTTTGGGAAGTTTCATTTGCACCTCCCCCTCTATTGTCTGGATTTTAGGTATACGCCCTGTTGGGTGTAAATCTAGCGAAGATTGAATCCCTCTGCAACAGAGAAATCTTAGATTATAACACAGGTTCCAAGTCTATAATGCTAAAGCCACAACATAGCACCACATTTATTAGATAGTCCTCACTTTTTATAAAGGAAAATGTTAGAGGAACTCATAACAAATGCAAGCTGAAAATCAGTAATTTTTCCCATGTGGAAGCACTAGCCCTTCTTGGCTAAAAATCTGACACTCTCTAGGTGAATTTATTTGAGGTTTTTTACTTGCTGCAGGAACATTTTCCCTTTCTAAGGTGAAATGCCATAGAAACTGTGAGATCCTAAAGTGTCACAGGCCTTTTCTTAAAGAGGTAGGGTCTGTGGCTGACCCCCATCAGGAAAATCTATTCTGTTGCATACTGGATTGTCTGTGCAGATCTTGCGGGAGGATTTTAACATGCCATGTCATGCTCCAAGAAGTGCACACAGGATTTTATCAGCATTCCTAAACCACTTGAGTCAGTCTAAAACTTAAGTGTGGTTTAAGCTTATCCCATATAAACAATAACATTGGGAGCAATAGCAATGTTACTAACAAGTCCACTAGGCTGGTAAGTTGTGGGGGGGTGTTTTTTGTTGTTGCTGTTTTTTAAATCAAAACCTGTTTATCCTTACTTCAGTTGCTTGGGGAGGGGGAGGAAAAAGCTGTATCAACTTCTAAATTTTACTTTTTTTTTTCTTTTCTGAAATGTAGGTCTACAGCATCAGGACAAGAACAAGGAAACTTCTTGGTTCTGAAGTTCAGATAAATTAGGACCAGCTAGAGCTGGAATCAGCGCAGCTGGGCAGGCGATCTAACAGTTGACTCCTTCTCCATGGGGCAAAGGACACACATGATGATGAAGAGCCAACCATTCTGGTTTTGCTATTGAGCCTTTTGTTTGTAAGGCTGTTAATGGGTCCCATAGTGTTGGAAAGAACAAAAACGTAACTTTTCTTTCTTTTCTCATCTGAGCCTGCTGCAGCTGGGCAACCTAACTCCTTTCTGCTCCTTTAACAGTGTTTTGTTTTGTTCAGCTTGATATTTTTACGAACAGTCTCAATTGTCAGGAAAAAGACTCTCCCTTGACTACAGTGCGCCTCCTTTCAGGAATACAGTATTTTGTAGCTCTTTGTGCATCTATTTTTGTAGAAATACAGAAAGTTTGGGTAAGGATTGATGGGCTATTTTAGGATGACATATTTTTTTAAAAAAAATTGTAAAATTGTTAAGTTCTGTTTAAAGAACTTGCTCTCAGAGAAGCACTGGCAAAAAATGTATAAAATGCTATTTTTAGATGTCTGTGATGTGTTTGTGCATTTTTTTTTTTGTTTTGTTACCTCAAATGTCTATCTTTCCTTTCTTTTTAAAGAGCTAAACCTTCCTTGTTGCCAAATTACTAGATTTTGATGTTTTTGTCCTTTTGTTCTAGCTTAAGCAAGTGTATTTCGCACCTAAAATTTCAGCCAAATATTTTTCCTGATGGTGTTAGATTGTAGTAGGGTGCTTTTATTTTCTTGCTTCTAGAGGTGGCTTTGTGCTGTGCTGATCATCAGAAACTTGCAAACACCTTTAGCATGGAGCGAAGCCTGGGGTTACAGGAACTGCATTTCCAACCCATCCATTCTTTCAAAATGGACCAAATACTCTTATGGACTTAAATCAGACATGAATTTGGGCCTCATCCATCATCCATTGAAGCTGTTGAACCCAGTCCTCTATGGGTTATGTTTCAGGCCCTCACAGTGCTCATAAATATCAGTATACTCTTATTTTAACTCATGAGGCAGGACTTTCAGCTAAGCCATTTCAAGGGTGGTAATGTATAACATCCATATTCAGGAAAGAAACATCAGTTTTACAAAAACATGTGACTTGTGGAAACAAAATGTTTTTAACTGGCCTGATCTGTCTGCTGAGCACCGCAAGGAAAGCGCTGAAATTTTCAAGTCCTGTTGACTTCAAAATCTGTTTGTCTAACCTTAGATTCGCTGTGGGTCTTACAAAGACCCCAGCTGCAGCTCTGGAATGTCATAAGAAGTTGCATGTGCTCGGTGTGCACAAATTCAGGCTTGGCTGCCATCCGGGTAAAAATCTGAACTTGGAAACAACGTGGCCACGTCTAGCCACAGCATTCCACAAGGTGTTCGGGAAACACCATTTCTGGCCTGGACCTTGGGTCTGGCTTGCATAATAAGGACTTTAGTTGAAGCCAAGGTGAGCACAATCCAATCCTGAATAAGGGCTGCAGGATGACCCTTGCAGCCCCCCGTGCCGCGATGGGCTGGAGCTGGGTCAGCCGCCGTGCCCAAGCCCAGTGACACCAGCGTGAGTGTCAGCAGGTGCTCAGGTGGGCCCGAGCGCAGGGTCGGGGCCTGGGTTGCCAGATCCTAGCTGTTGCTTGGAGATGTTGCCTTTCTGCACTGTGCACCCAGGGTCCCTCTGTAATACTGCCCAAGGCTCTTATAACCTACGATACTTCTGTTACCACTGTTTTCAGACATGCCTGTCTGAAAGACAAACCAGCTAGATGGAAACCAAGACACAAACACGTGGCAGAGATAAGAAACAGTTTAATTTCAAGGCAACAAGCATTGTAAATGTCGGTTTGTCAGGTGGAGACCACATGGATCTGCGTGTGAAAGGGGAGGGGGAGTGTTGGGATGTGCATGCCGCTCCGAGGTTCAAGCCTCCCTCCCTGCGCTGCTGCTTCTCTCCAGGCTGTTTGAACTTGATCCTACGAGGTGCTGAGTGTTCCCCCTTGCCGTGTGAGAGGGCTTGACACGCTGGCACCGGAGGCATTAGGATTATGTCACAATTTGGCAAGACCCTCAAGTGTGTACCTTGCTGATTTGAAGTTTGAGACAGCGTAAAAGTGCTGAATGGACTATGCTTAAATATTACTTTAAAATAGTAATATTAAGTTTCTGTGTTGGGATGCTGAATTAAATGTGGTGGGGTTTTTTTTCCCCCCATTGTTACAGTCCATCCGCATTTCTTTCTCTTAAGTTCACTCTCATAACAGTTCTATATATTATTGCTGCTCTGGTGGAGCTAGCTCCTCAATTTGTCAATGAATTTGTAATGCAATGGGAAAACTGTATGGGAGGGAACGTAGTAACAGCTGCCACAGTTCACTTTCTTATCAGGACAGTATAGTTCAGGAAATAGCTCATAATAAGAGTTCTGACTTAGGAATTCTGACAGTATTAGAAATACTGGGAGGAAAAAAAATCCAAGCTTATTTTTTATTTTTACTATGTTTTTAGATTTTTTTTCTGGACTTTGGCAAAGCTGGAAGTCAAAGAGGCGATGTATCCTCTTTGAACTTCAGGGCTGGTGAGTTTGGGTGGTGAGGGGAGCAAAAGAAAAGGCAACGTTTCTTTTTGAGGTGTCGTGCGTTTGACTTCCTGAAATAGTTGGAAGTCTAGCAAGCGCAGTCAGTTCATTACCTTCCTCTTTGCAAGTTCAGATGATGAGGGACCTCCTCCTGTTCTCTAGAGATGTCAAAGCAGAATGGGACAGGAAAAAACAGGCCCACAGTTTGCACTGGAATCCCTTTCTGGGTTGTTTTGTTGAGTTGATGGGTAGTGGGGATGAATATGTGGTGAAGTTATTGCCTCTTCCACTTCAAGGACTACTGTTACGTGCCCAGTTTCCACTGCTGAACTGTGAGTGTGCTGAAGGAACTTCTGTTGCTCTGCAGGCACTGGGAGACAAGTGCCAATAAAACCCTGCTATCGTCTGTAGCCATTCATGTACCAGTCAATTGACTTTGAAAGTCAAATAAATTCATTTTTTTTCCTCAGTCACTAACCATCCCCTGTTTACTAACAACCGAGTTGAAAGTAAGAGCACAAGTGCATAGCAGTAACCCTACTTCTATGTTCTACAATTTGAAGGACGGGAAAGAAAAATTTTTTCCCTGTGACAAACTTTTAAGTTAAATTCAGATTTAATTTTCTCTCTCTCATGTACACGGACACTTACACACACGCACAAACATGCTTATGAGAAGCAGATGCTGTGATGGTTTTGTTCTTGAAAGAGGAGGGGAGCGCTTGCTCGCAACATTGCAGTTACAGAGAATTGATGGCAGTGAGAAAGAAACAGAAATGACTGCTCATGTTTCCACAGATAGGAAAAAAGGCCCTTAAAATCAGGTCACAGACAAGTTATGTGTCTTAACACATTACTAAAGGAGTTGCTTCATTGTTTTTGTGTGTGGTGAGTTCTGATGCTGTCCCAAGAAAGTGGATGATTCATTTTGCAAGGACTTATGAAACATGATGTACTCTTGTCACTATTTCTGGGAGAACATAGGGAAATTATTGTTTTATTTCAAGAAAATCTACATACTAAACTCCTTAATTCCTATTAATGTTGAGAAATCTGCTGTCAATTTTTGTGTCTTCATTTGAAGACTGGGAGGGTTCAAACTGTCCACCAGTTTCTGAAAGGCAGATACCAGTTTGTTTCAACTGGGCATTTCCATTCCAACAAGATGATGGAATAGTGCAGCTACTGACCGCTCAGCAGACTTGATTTCTGGAGAGCTGAATAAGCTATGCTTGGCAATAGTGAAATGCACTTTGTTCTGATTCCTCTGCTCGCCAGACACACAAATTCAGTTTATCTGATACCTCTTTCATCGTGTGATGGTCTTCAGTGAATGGCAGTTTTCTCTCAGTCATCTACTTCTGCCTCTAAACATGCTTTCGAGGATGAATTTCTCATCACAACTTTCAGAGAGAGCAGAGCTTGCGGGAGGGGAGTGTCACGTTCCCCCCCCACCCGCGCTCAGGGTCGACTTGCCTGTACCCAGCCTTTCTGATTCCAGGCTATTGTGTGCGTCTTGCTCTCCTCCTCCTACAATTCCTTATGTGTATGTATATATACATATATATACAAATATATGTGTAGCTATACCTGGTTCCCTCTATTCCACCTTCATGCTTCAAAATGCACATCCTTTGGAAAATGAAGTGAATGACAGCACTAAATCTCATCTGAGACTGAGAAAATGTAGACATTTTATTGCATTCTCTGTAACCTCAGTTTTGGAATTTTTATTATGGAATTTTTCCATACTTGTAAAAAGCAAAACCAAACAACAACAAAAACCCAACGATGACAACAAAAAACCCAAACCTTCAAACCCCCTGATTTGTTATATCTGTAAAGATGACTGTGGAGTCAGCAGAGTTATGCAGAGAGGTGCAATATATTGCCTTTCAGCAGACAAGCATATCTTTTTGAATACGATTCTTTTAAGTAATTTCAGGTACAAGCTTTTTCTCCATATCAATGGACCAGCAACATATATTTCTTATAAAGGATTTAGAAATATGTATATTTTTAAAATTGACTTCCTGGCTTTAATATGTCAGCCTTTGAGCTTTTAAAGGGTATTTGGATGATAAATATTGTTTATGTGTGTGGATTTTTAAAAAAGATGTGTGTTGTTTGGAACTGAAATCTCATGAAAGCAGGAAGGTATTTAAAAATAAATACTGCTTTTACATATTAGCCCTATGGGCACAACCTGACAGTTGTGGTGCAGGAAGATGTCTCTTTAAAGGCCTTTTGCCTGAGCAAGGTCAAAATCCAGTCCCTTGTGACTGGAGAGGCAGGAGTCTTTTTGCAAAGATTGAGCTAGGAGAGCTGTGAGCAGAGATGATCCTCTCCAGCATTGTGCTTAGATGATTGGGCAGTCACTGATCAAGATACTAAATTTAGACTGTGTTGGGAGGTTTACACTTGCCCCATTTTATGGGGTGAACTGGTTGCCAAGGGAAACTGGAGATGTCCCTGGAAACCTATGTTTTAGCTGCCCTTGGTCTGCACAGTGCCCATGACCTTCTTCTTGTTCTTGCTCTGCATTCTCCCTGACACCATGGTGGGACCTGTGAAAGCTGGGCTGGAGTTCCTGTGAAATGCAGGATGTTTTTACCTCCCAATAAAGATAGTTTAGGGATGGGGATAATTAAAACATTGTAGTTATCTCATGCACCTGCTCAAAGACTCAAGCCTTCAAGATGGATCAGCTGTGCATCATTGATGATTGCTGTTTGCGTACAGGAGCCCAAATAATGCTTCCTCCCCTTGGTGTCTTTGGAAATCTGCAATAGGCTTGAGATCATTGGGACCAGCCTCAAATACCTAAATTGCAGTCCAGTGTTGGCTGGCACGGTGTGGTGGCCTGGGATGTGATCCAACATTGATGGACATCAGTTGGAGTCAGCAATGATTCCAGTGAGCTTGGGCTCAGGTAACTAGTACCTATAGACAACCAATATTTAT